GTAGAGACGGGGTTTCACCATGTTGACCAGGATGGTCTCGATCTCTTGACCTCGTGATCCACCCGTCTCGGCCTCCCAAAGTGCTGGGATTACAGGCTTGAGCCACCGCGCCCGGCCCCGTGACGTCATCTTTGCGGTCTCTCCGAGAGCCGGCAGCGGGCGCCGCCATGATGCATTACGGAAGCCTATAGTCCTTCTTCGGCGGCAGCCCGTCATTCCGGCTCTCGGAGTTGCCACAGAACTTCCCGGAGACAGGGCCGCCGCCCAGAATCGCTCTCGTTGGAGGCTCCTCTCGTGGGGCCGCGCTGCCTGCGCCACCTCCGCAGCCTGCCGTCCTCATCCCGATGGGCGCCGCCATGTTGGGGTCCTAGCCGGGGGCGCGTAGGTGTCTTCATAAGATGCCGGCGCTACGGCGCGCGCTTCCCTCCAAGATGGCGTCCATGCGGGAGAGTGACACGGGCCTGTGGCTGCACAACAAGCTGGGGGCCACGGACGAGCTGTGGGCGCCGCCCAGCATCGCGTCCCTGCTCACGGCCGCGGTCATCGACAACATCCGTCTCTGCTTTCACGGTCTCTCGTCGGCGGTGAAGCTCAAGTTGCTGCTCGGGACGCTGCACCTCCCGCGCCGCACGGTGGATGAGGTGAGGCAGGCGGGGCGCCCCACGGCCGCGCCTCCCTGGGACCCGAGGCCCCCAGAGCCCCAAACTTCCCACCTCCGACCCTCACACCCCACTCCGGGCCCCGCTCCCAAACCTCCGCGGTCCTTCCCCGCACCTTTTCATCTCTCTTCAGACTGTCAGTGCCCCCAGGGTCCTCAGCTCCCCCCGCCCCACCCTCACGCCCCTCCTAGCTCCTCGGGATTTCTCCCCCCAGTCCTCACCTCCCACTGGGTCCTCATCCCCCGCCTCGATCTTCATCCCCCACCTGAGTTCTCATCCCCACCCTGGGTCCTCAGGCCCCCTCGCACCTCCTCCCTGACCCCCTCGGGAACCCTCCCTACGGTCCTCACCTCCCCACCTCTCGTCCTCACCCCCACCTAAGTTTCCACCTCCCCTGGATCCTCAACCCCGCTCTCTGCCGGGCCCGGGGTCCTCACTACCGCCCCCAGGTCCTCACTGCCCACCCTGGGCCCCCGGGTGCTCTCCCCGGCTCCCCCGCCCCCGGTCCTCACCCGCCCAGTTCCCCACCGACGGACTCTCGGGGCGGGGGCGCGCCGGCCCCAGCGGGACCTCCCATCGAGGTTTCCCGTCGGGGACGTGGCCCTGGTGGCCTGGGCGGGGGCGGGGATCCCGAGGGAAACCCGCGTGCGGAAGGGGCCGCCTGAGCTCGGCAGCTCGTGTTCGCTAGCTGGGTTTCCTTGTTCTCACCTGGCAAAGGCCCCAGCCGTCCGGAGCGCTGTGTTCTTTTGACTCTTTTCTGTGCGCCGTTTTTGCGTCATTCCAACGAGTGAGTGTGTGAAGTGTGTTTTCTTTCTTCCTAAACGTTATATTGTGTGCTTTCCGTGCGAAATAAACCGAGTAGTTTTGCAGACTGTCGAAGCCCCGTGGTTGTTTAAAAGTTCCCGGCTACTGGTGTATTATTGTCTCTCGTAGGTTGTAATTGTTTTTGATTGAGATATAACATGTATGAAAAAGTACATATTCGTTAAGTTTAACGAATAATAATAGCATCGTGAGTCACCCCTGCGATCCTCACACGGGTGGAGAAACAGAACCATGCTTGTTCCTTGGAAGCTGCCCGTTGGTAATCACGGCCTTCTTCCTTTCCCTTCCCACGTTTTGGAAAGGTAATCATTTCTGTGCCATCTCCCCAGTGTTAGCAATTATGCACCCCTAAGTGGCACAGCTTGGTTGCCTGATTTGGATTAGTGTGATGGGATCATAGTGTGTGTATTTTGTGTGTGGCATGCATGTGTCCTTTTGGTGGACCCCTGGACAGGTGCATCCACATTGCAGCTGACTGTGGTTTAATTTTCACTGCTGTGTGGTATTCGTTTCTCTGAGTACGAAGCTGTCCATTCTATCACAGTGACCCATGTAGCTTATGGCCAGTTTTTTGCTGTGGTAAATAATGCTGTTACTACATGATTGTGATGTATGTGTTCAGATGTTTGAGAGCTTGGATTTCTCCAGGGTATAATATCTAGGAGTGAAATTGTGGGGATCAGGGGATTATGCCAAATTATTTTTCAGAGTGTTTTGTTTTTGTTTTTTGTTTTGTGTTGTTTGAGACAGGGCCTCTCGCTGTCAGCCAGGCTGGCGTGCAGTGGTACGATCATGGTTTACTACAGCCTCGACCTCTTGTGCTCAGGCGATCCTCCCACTTCAGCCTCCTGAGTAGCTGGGATTACAGGCATACGCCTCCATGCCCAACTAGTTTTTGTATTTTTAGTAGATACAGCGTTTCACCATGCTGCCTAGGCTGGTCTTGAACTGACCTCGGCCTCCTAAAAGGCTGGGATTACAGGTGTGAGCCATGGCACTCGGCCTGCTGTTTGGCTTTCTGTTTTGAGAATTGTATATTCAAATCTGCTTTTAAATTCTCTTCCCATTGTTTTGTAAGGGTTTTCTTTTTTATGATTCCCGCCCCCCCCCCCGAGACGGAGTTTCACTCTTGTTACCCAGGCTGGAGTGCAATGGCGCGATCTCGGCTCACCGCAACCTCCGCCTCCTGGGTTCAGGCAATTCTCCTGCCTCAGCCTCCTGAGTAGCTGGGATTACAGGCACGCACCACCATGCCCAGCTAATTTTTTGTATTTTTAGTAGAGACGGGGTTTCACCATGTTGACCAGGATGGTCTCGATCTCTTGACCTCGTGATCCACCCGCCTCGGCCTCCCAAAGTGCTGGGATTACAGGCTTGAGCCACCGCGCCCAGCTATGATTTCTTATAATTTCTTTTAATTATTTGTTATAGATAACAGTCCTTTTTCAGTTACAGCTGTCTCCCAGTTGTCCTTTGACTTAGCTTCCTGGAATTTTTTCTTTTCCTTTCTTTTCTTTTTTGATACAGCATCTTGCTCTGTCACCAGGGCTGGAGTCTAGTGGTATAATCATAGCTCACTTTAACCTTGAACTCCTGGGCTAAGCAGTCCTCCCTCCTCAACCTCGAGTAGCTGGGACTATAGACACGCCACCACTACTAATACTTGTGTGTGTGTGTGTGTGTGTGTGTGTGTGTGTAGATGAGGGTCTTACCATATTGCCCAGGCTGCTCTTGAACTCCTTGCCTCAACTGATCCTCCTGCCTTGGCCTCCCATAGTGTTGGGATTACAAGTGTGATCCATGTGCCCAGCCCTCTTACTAGAATTGTGGATGAAGAGAAGCTCTGGCCAGGCGTGGTGGCTCACGCCTGTAATCCAAGCACTTTGGAGGCCAAGGCAGGCAGATCACCTGAGGTCGGGAGTTCAAGACCAGCCTGACCAACATGGTGAAACCCCGTCTTTTAAAAAAAAAAAAGAAGAGAAGCTCCTGGTTTTAACGTAGGTGGGGTATTCATCAGCCCACTGTCTTTGGTGCCAACTGTGTCTCACTGGAGGACATGCTGGGAACACCCCCTGGGTTATCTTGGCATAGCTGTACATTTTGCCTTTCACACTTGAATCTTCAGTCTGCATGGAACTGATGATTGTGTGAAGCCGGGAGTCCAATTTTCCACATGGACGTCCAGTTAGTCCAGCACCCAGCGTTGATTAGAATGATTGTCCTTTTCCATTGATCTGCACTGTGACTTATGCTGTGTACGTTTCAGGCTATGCTCTCTTCTTGCGGTGACTGACATAATGATGTGCTGATAACCCAGTCAGTTCCTGTCACTTTTCTTCTGAGTTTTCTTAGCTGACGGAGCAAACTCTCCCACTGTGTTTTTCTCCAGGAGCATCTCTGGCTGTTCTTGTCCCTTCACGCTTCCGAATGTATATTTCATACTTCTTACACACAGAGAGCCTGCCTGCGGGGATTTTAAGGCTGAGCTTGCAGTTCATTCTGGGGTGATGTCCTCTTTATATCACATCTTATAATTTGGGGGTGTGGGTATATTTAAATGGTTCTTTATGATCTCGATAGAGGCCTTCTGTCTCATATATTGCCACCTAGTTCATATTTTTTCATGCTGTTGTAGATGGTGTCTGTTAAAGTCTTAGTTTTGCTTGTTGCTAGTTTATAGAAATGCAGTTGATTTTTGCTTTTTGGGTTTTTTTGAGACAGAGTCTCACTTTGTCACCCAGGCTGGAGTGCAGTGGCGCAATCTCGGCTCACTGCAATTTCTGCCTCCCAAGTTGAAGTGATTCTTTTATCTCAGCCACCCAAGTATCTAGGGTTACAGGTGCACGCCACCACACTGGCTAATTTTTGCATTTTTAGTAGAGATGGGGTTTCACCGTTGTTGGCCAGGCTGGTCTTGAACTCCTGACCTCAGGTGATCCAGCCACCTCAGCCTCCCCAAGTGCTGGGATTACAGATGTGAGCCACCACAGCCAGCCTGATTTTTGGATAATGAGTTTGTGACTACCATTTGTGTTAAAATTTTACTAGTTGCAGTAATTCTTTTTCTGTAGAATTTCTTGATTTTTCTGTGCACTTCATATTATTTTTCATTTTCCAATTGCCTTTTGTTTTTTTCTTATCTCACTGGACTGGCCAGGACCCTCCAGCCCATTGTCTGACCTCCCATCACACAGGGAGAACTTGGAATGTTTTGCCAATAAGCATTATGTTCCCTCTTGTCTTTGGTAAATACCCTTTATCTAGTTAAGGAAATTCTCTTCTCTTCTTAGAAGACTTGTAAAAAAAATCTTTTAATCATGAATTTTAAAAAATAGCTTTATTAAGATATAATTTGTAGCTGGGTGCAGTGGTTCATGCCTGTAATCTCAGCACTTTGGGAGGCCAAAATGGGTGGATTGCATGAGCCCAGGAATTTGAGATTAGCTTGGGCAATATGGTGAAACCCCGTCTCCATAAAAAATATAAAAATTAGCCAGGCAAGTGGCACACAGCTGTGGGAGGCTGAAACTACTTGGCAGGCTGAGACGAGAGGATAGCTTGAGCCTGGGAGGTTGAGGGTGCAGTGAGCTGTGATCACATCACTGCATCTAGCCTGGGCAACAGAACGAGACCCTGTCTCAAAAGAAAAAAGATATAATTGATACACCATATAAATATACCAGATAGCTTTCACCATTTAAAATGTACAGTGCAGTGGTTTTTAGTACATTCACAGAGTTGATTACCATTCTAGTCAATTTTAAAACATTTTCATCGTCCCCCAAATAAATCCTGTGCTCTTTAGCATTTCCCCAGTCCTCTTCCTCCCCACTCCTAGGTGACTAGTAGTTACTTTTTGCTTCTATAGATTTGTCTGTTCAGGATATGTTATATAAATAGAGTCATACATCTGGTCTTTTGTGCCTGACTTTTTTCACTTAGTGTAATGTTTTGTTTTTGTATTTTTTTAGACGGAGTCTCGCTCTATCACCAGGCTAAAGTGTAGTGACGTGATCTAGGCTCACTGCAGCCTCTGCCTCCCAGGTTCAAGCGATTATCCTACCTTAGTGTCCTGAGAGCTGAGACTACAGGCATGCGCCACCAAGCCCAGCTAATTTTTTGTATTTGTGCAAATACAAATACCCTGTTGGCCAAGC